GGAGAGATACAAAGTAACATTGTTTATAAACATCGATCAGACGGGAGATGGAGAGATACAAAGTAACATGTTTATAAACATCGATCAGACGGGAGATGGAGAGATACAAAGTAACATTGTTTATAAACATCGATCAGACGGGAGATGGAGAGATACAAAGTAACATTGTTTATAAACATCGATCAGACGGGAGATGGAGAGATACAAAGTAACATTGTTTATAAACATCGATCAGACGGGAGATGGAGAGATACAAAGTAACATTGTTTATAAGCATCGATCAGACGGGAGATGGAGAGATACAAAGTAACATTGTTTATAAAGCATCGATCAGACAGGAGATGGAGAGATACAAAGTAACATTGTTTATAAACATCGATCAGACAGGAGATGGAGAGATACAAAGTAACATTGTTTATAAACATCGATCAGACCGGAGATAGAGAGATACAAAGTAACATTGTTTTATCGATCAAACGGGAGATCAGAGAGATCAAAGTAACATTGTTTATAAACACATCGATCAGACGGGGGAGATGGAGAGATACAAAGTAACATTGTTTATAAACATCGATCAGACGGGAGACAGAGAGATACAAAGTAACATTGTTTATAAACATCGATCAGACGATATTGAGAGATTCCCATCAGTGCTGTCTGCATGCGTCCATCAATACTGCCCATCAGTGCTTCTCCTCAGTGCAGCCTCATCAACGCCCATCAGTGAAAAAAAAAAAATTTCTTATTTGCAAAATTTTATAAAAGAAATTAAGAAAAACATTTTTCCCAAAATGTCAGTATTTATTCACTTGCTAACAAGAAAACAAAATCCCAGTGGTGATCAAATACCACCTAAAGAAAGCCTTATCGGTCTCAAAAAATTGTAAAAAAAATGTCATTTGGGTACAGTGTCGCATGACCACACAATTGTCATTCAAAGTGTGACAACGCTGAAAGCTGTAACCTGGCCTGGACACGAAGGGGCTGAAAGTGCCCGGGACTGAAGTGGTTAATAAATAAATGTGTTTTGTATGTTCGGTGAGCTTGATGCCGTTGCTTAGTGTAGGCAGCAAAGCTGGGGAGTGCGGAATTTAACCTCTGCCATACGTATTACACCTCGGCTATCAAGGGCTTCAACCTGGCTGCTGTCGGAGGATAACACCTCATTTATATTTCTGCCGTTAACATATCATAACTGAAAAAAATATTTAACCAGCTCAATACCGAACCAATTCTGACACTCCCCTCCTACATGTAAAAATCAGCTTTTTTTCTGCCAGAAAGCTACTTGGAACCCCCAAACATTATATTTATTTATTTATTTATTTATTTTATTTTTATTTTTTTTAATTAATATTTTATTTAATTTTTTTTAACTATTTTTTTTTAAATTATTATTTATTTATTTTTTTATTTATTATTATTATTTATTTAAATTTTTTTAATTATTATTTATTTATTTATTTTCTCCGAGGCCCCAGAGAATAAAATGGTGGGTATTGCAGTGTTTTTTTTTTACATTTTTTTATGTCGCACAATGTTTGCAAAGAGGCTTTTCAAACACTAGATTTTTGGGAGAAAATATACTTTATTGAACATAATACATAATACCTCATTTTTTCATAAGCTATAAAAGATGATGCTGCACCGAGGAAATAGATACCGAATATGTCACACTTTAAAATTGCGTACGTCCCATGGAGTGGCAACAAATTACGATACTTAAAAATCTCCATAGGCAGCGATTTAAAAGCCTTTACAGGTCACCGGTTTAGAGGAACACGGGGGGTCTGGTGCCGGGATTATTGCTCTCGCTCTGACGTTTGCGGTGATGTCTCGCATGTGTGGTGCGATCGCTGTTATGTGTGCGGGACCAACGTATGCGTTCACCAGTTCACATGAGCATGGGAGGGGCTTTAATTTTTTTTCAGCATATTTTTATTTATACACTGTTTTGACTTGATCAGCTTTATTTCTATCACATGGGCTGTGACAGGTCCTCTTTATTGAGACCCCAGATCTCTCCTATGCCCTCACGCCTCTAATCAAACACCGATACCGGTTTGGTCAGATGCTGGTACAATCTGGCGATGACTTGTTTGCATACGAGCAAAACCCCGGAACCCCGGAGGTGACAAAGTACCGCCCCTTCCTGTTTTATAGACCATAGAGATGATTGGGGAAGTTCCATTCCACAGTCATCTCTGTTCCGGGCTGCCCGGTGGAACGTGAGAGCTCAGTAAGGTGGTGGAAGGCGGCAGGAGGGGATCCTTTTCCGCCACATGTAAAAGTGATCCAGCGGTTATTTAGCCACCCTGATCTCTTTTACATTAACTGCTGCCCTGCCGGCCTATAGCAGCAGAACTACTGCTACATGGCTGCACAAAATCACATATATATATACATAAGCGGCATTCCTCAGAGGGGACATCTACGCTGGTCATCAGGGCACTGATGATCAGTGTAGATCCATCAGTGCCACCTGTCAGTGCCCATCAATGCCACATACCAGTGCCTATCAGTGCCCATGAATGCCACATACCAGTGCCTATCAGTGCCCATCAATGCCACATACCAGTGCCTATCAGTGCCCATCAATGCCACATACCAGTGACTATCAGTGCCCATCAATGCCACATACCAGTGCCTATCAGTGCACATCAATGCCACATATCAGTGCCCATCAGGGGCGGACTAACCATTTGGAAACTCGGGCACTGCCCGAGGGCCCAGGGTCAGTAGGGGGCCCCATGAGATGCCCCTGGTACCTTTTTCATAGGCTTTTTTGAGTTTGGGCAAGGACACAGGGGCCCCATGATCCCCTATTGCCCGGGGGCCCCATGAGTTGTCAGTCCGCCCCTGGTGCCCATCAATGCCACATATCAGTGCCTATCAGTGCACATCAATGCCACATATCAGTGCCCATCAATGCCACATATTAGTGCCTATCAGTGCCCATCAATGCCACATATCAGTGCCTATCAGTGCACATCAATGCCACATATCAGTGGCCATCAGAGCTGTGTTTCAGTGCCAACTATCAGTGTCAGTCAGTAAAACCTATCAGTGCCACCTATCAGTTCCAATCAGTGTCGCCTATCAGTGCTCATCAGTGCCGCCTATCAGTGCCGCCTATAAGTGCCATATATCAGTGCTGCCTGTCAATGCCCACCAGTGCCGCCTATCAGTGCCTCCTCATCAGTGCAGCCTATCAGTGCCCATCACTGCAGCCTCATTAGCGCACATCAGCGAAGGAGAAAAATTACTTATTTACAAAATTTTATAACAGAACTTTTTTTTTTTTTTACATTTTCAGTCCTTTTTAGTTTGTTTAGCAAAAAAAAAAAAAACCCCAACGGTGATTAAATACCACCAAAAGAAAGCTCTGTCTGTCTCACACAAAAAAAAAAAAGATGAAAATGTTGTTCGGGTACAGTGTTGCATGACCGCACAATTGTCATTTAAAGCGAGACAGCGCAGAAAGCTGAAAATTGGCCTGAGGGCAGGAAGGGGGTGAAAGTGCCCGGCAGGTGAGGGGTTAAATACCACCAAAAAAAAAAGCTCTATGTGTGTGAAAAAAAGATAACAATGTCATACGGGTACAGTGTTGCATGACCGCGCAATTGTCATTTAAAGTGAGACAGCGCTGAAAGCTGGAAATTGGCCTGAGGGCAAGAAGGCAGGTAAAAGTGCCCCGGCAGGCGAGGGGTTAAATACCTCCAAAAAAAAAGCTCTATGTGTGTGAAAAAAAAAAGATAGCAATGTCATATGGGTACAGTGTTGCATGACCGCACAATTGTCATTTAAAGCGTGACAGCGCTAAAAGCTGAAAATCAGCCTGGGGGCAGGAAGGGGGGGAAAGTGCCCCTGGCAGGTGAGGGGGTTAAAACTGTTTGCCTGACGTTCAGTCTCAGAATGGAGTAAGATGAAGTAGGGCGGCACAGGGCTTAGTGGTTCTGCCGTGCAGTAAATGGGTCATGGGTTCGATTCCCGACCATGGCGCCTCCTGCATGGAGTTTGCATGTTCTCCCTGTGCCCGTGTGGGTTTCTACCGGGTACTCCGGTTTCCTCCCACACTCCAAAGACATGCTGGTAGGTTAATTGGCTCCTGTCTACATTGTCCTAGTTTCATCCCTGGCCATGTGGGATCTCCTGCATGGTGGGGGTTGGGGAAAGACCTGGCAACCTACCCTGTAAAATAATTGCTAAGAGAATTCATGGAAAAAAGTCGCTTATGAGTGACAGTCCGTGCAATCACCAAGGGTACGACCGAATGGATAGAAGATGAGGTAAATGAGACCGTTGAGCCCTAAAATCGCAGAGAGCCTCATAACGTGGAACACAAACCCCCCCCTTCCCATCGCAGCCCCCTCCTTACTGGAGGAGAACAGATGAATAAAACATGGATTTCTCCATCCACTATGCTACCTGTTTAAGGCATTAGTATTCTGAGCGAACGTCAAAGCAGAGCGATTTCTATACAAAGCCCATCTGGCTCCCCCGTTGGCTTTGGGTCGCGCTGGCAGAAAATTGCATTTGGTTTTTATTGTACGGAAATGTCACGGTGCGCGGCAACAGATGATATTCCTGGGGAGGAGGACAGACAAATACGCCGTGTGAGGGTCAGGAGATTCGTGAGGAACATCGATCACTGAATCCAGGCCATCCTGGTGACAGCGCTGGGGGGTTTAATCGGCTTGTACTTCGTACATTAAGATTCCTTCTTGAGGATCAGAAGCAATAAGAAAGTCGGGTGTCTGTGGAACGAGCGCCTTTAGTTCCAGTCATTTCAGGTCCCTCAACATCTGCAGTCTGAGGTTCAACAAACATGACCCACATTTTGCTGGTTACATATGGGAGATAATGCAAGTAATCGCAGTGATTGACAGATGGTGTACAGAAACCTTCCCAACCTCCTTGTCCCAGAGGAACCCTTCAAATCATTTTCTGGTCTTGGGAAACCCCTGTTATAACCAATACATTGGTGGTCAGTGAGAAGAACGTCCCTTACATTGGGGGGGTCAGTGAGAAGAATGTCCCTTACATTGGGGGTCAGTGGGAAGAATGCTCCTTACATTGGAAGTCAGTGGGAAGAATGTCTCCTTACATTGGTGATCAGTGGAAAGAATGTCCCTTACATTGGGGGTCAGTGGGGAAGAATGCTCCTTAATGTTCCTTACATTGGGGGTCTGTGGGAAGAATGTCCTTACATTGTGGGGTCAGTGGGAAGATATGTCCCTTACATTGGTGGTCAGTGGGAAGAATCTCCCTTACATTGGGGGTCAGTGGGAAGAATGTCCCTTACATTGGAGGTCAGTGGGAAGAATGTCCCTTACATTGGGGGTCAGTGGGAAGAATGTCCCTTACATTGGTGGTCAGTGGGAAGAATGTTCCTTACATTGGGGTCAGTGGGGAGAATGCTCCTTACATTGGGAAGTCAGTGGGAAGAATCTCCCTTACATTGGTGGTCAGTGGGAAGAATATCCCTTACATTGGTGGTCAGTGAGAAGAATGTCCCTTACATTGGTGGTCAGTGGGAAGAATGTCCCTTACATTGGGGGTCAGTGGGAAGAATGTCCCTTACATTGGTGGTCAGTGGGAAGAATGCCCCTTACATTGGTGATCAGTGGGAATAGAATGTCCCTTACATTGGTGGTCAGTGGGAAGAGATGTTCCTTACATTGGGGGTCAGTGGGAAGAATGTCCCTTACATTGGTGGTCAGTGTGGAAGAATTCGCTTTACTTTGGGGGTCTTACACTTTGTGGTGGTGGGAAGAATGTCCCTTACATTGGGGTAGGTCAGTGGGAAGAATGCCCGTACATTGGTGGTCAGGGGAAAGAATGTCCCTTACATTTGTGGTCAGTGGGAAGAATGTCCCTTACATTGGGGGTGGTCAGTGGGAAGAATGTCCCTTACATTGGTGGATCAGTGGGAAGAATGTCCCTTACATTGGGGGTCAGTGGGAAGAATGCTTCTTACATTGGTGGTCGGTGGGAAGAATGTCCCTCACATTGGTGGTCAGTGGGAAGGATGTCCCTTACATTGGTGGTCAGTGGGGAAGAATGTCCCTTACATTGGAGGTCAGTGGGAAAGAATGTCCCCTTACATTGGGGGTCAGTGGGAAGAATGTCCCTTACATTGGTGTTCAGTGGGAAGAATGTCCCTTACATTGGGGTGTCAGTGGGAAGAATGTTCTCTTCAATTGGGGATCAGTGGGAAGAATGTCCCTTACATTGGTGGTCAGTGGGAAGAATGTTCTTACATTGGTGATCAGTGGGAAGAATGTCCCTTACATTGGTGGTCAGCGGGAAGAATGTTCCTTACATTGGGGGTCAGTGGGAAGAATGTCCCTTACATTGGTGGTCATGTGGGAAGAATTCGCTTTTACTTTGGGGGTCAGTGGGAAGAAAGCTTCCTACATTGGAGGTCAGTGGGAAGAATGCTTCCTACATTGGGGGTCAGTGGGAAGAATGTCCTTACATTGGTGGTCAGTGGGAAGAATGTCCCTTACATTGGGGGTCAGTGGGAAGAATGTCCCTTACATTGGTGATCAGTGGGAAGAATGTCCCTTACATTGGGGGTCAGTGGGAAGAATGTCCCTTACATTGGGGGTCAGTGGGAAGAATGCTTCTTACATTGGTGGTCAGTGGGAGCAGGAGGGAGGACACACTGAAGGAGCTCTCCCTGAGAACCAGCGGTTTCAAGCCTGGGCCTTGCCTGCTAGCTTGGCCCAGGAACCATGCCTGATCCAGGGGGAGGCCCTGGGAGGGATTCCCCTGATGAGACCGGGCCTAGTGAAGAGGAGGAGGTGGAGGACCTGACTGTGGGTCCGGGCCTGGTGAGGATGTTGATGTCTTCAGACAGAAGATTGTTGATAGATTTGTGACTATTGGAAGAGCTGAGGAGAAACTTAATGTTTTAAAATCTGAACACAAAAACCTTCAGAGCCAAATACTGCCAGGCCTGGAGCAAGAACAGATTGGGCATGAAGCCAGCGCTCCAGCACATGGAGGAGAAAGTAAAGAGACAATCTTTATTATTAGTAAAGTTGAAAGCAAGAAGTGGAGCATTTAAAGAAAAATTTGAAAATGAGAGGAGATTTGCCAGCCAGACATCAGTGAGCTCTGTGGATCAGCAGCCTCAGGTAAATGGATGACCCGGCTCCATCTACATCAGCGTCTCTCCCCCCATGTCAGGCTGTGGAATCACCAGTGGCAACCAGCCAGGGGGTTGAGGGTGAGTATGGAACCTTGAGGTTCATCCAGCACATGGAGTCACCCTGAGAGCAGACAAGTTTGCCTTCACTGATGACCCTGCAGAAGTCCCTGAAGATGGACAGAGGAGGTACAGAGCAGCAAAGCCAAGACTGGTGGAGAGATCCTAGTATACCAAGATGGCTGCTCCCAGCATGTCTGCCCCACCTGCTGTGGTGAGTACTGTGGATGAGGAGCTCTGCAAGCAGCCTGCTGTGGAGGAATCCTCATCCAACCTGGAGGAAAAATCCCTGGCAGAGAGGTCTCCAGACCATCAGGGAATGTGGATGAACCTGCACCAAAGCACCCACAGATGGAAATTGCTGCTGCTGTTCCTGCTGAGACCGGTAGTCCCTCCAAAGGCAAGATGGCTGCCACCTGCAGAGAGACTGTTTCACCTGAGCTCCCAGGTGCTCCAGGAGCTGATTGATGCTGGTGGGGGAGGGGGAGCAGCACACTGCACAACATGGAGAGGCAAACAGCAAACATGGATGTCTCACTTGTTGCTGTGTCTGAGAATCCGATCCAGTCCTGGGCTGAGTGTCCTTTCTTGGATGAAGAGATGACTACTGGAGCTTCTATGGTTGCAGCAGTGAGTGCGGACTTTGCTGTGAACTCTATGACTGTTGAGACTGGTAAAGCAATGGATGTGGTGGGTGGAGGGAGGTGAAGGGGTTAACGTTGCTGATAAGACTAAAAATGACATTTCTCCCCCTGCTCAGCAGAAAGAGGATACACCATCCAATCCCGGATCTGTGCAATCGGTATCTGCTAGAGTTGCACCAGACGCTCCCAGACACACAATGTTTCTGCTGCTGGGAGGATTGGGGGGAGCTATGCCTCTGTTTTGGGGAGTCGCACCAAGGGGGGTGGGGGTAGTGTTGGGAATGTTAATGGTCACAATTTGGGGAGGTTTGGTGGTGGGATGGTTGGTGGGGTCAGGAGAAGGAATGTTGTGCAGTTGAAGTGGGAGGGGGGAAGGGAATCCACCAGTAAGGGGGAGGGTGGCGGAGTTGATTCTAGAGATGGGGTTTTAAAGCCTGTGATGTGTTTGCGTTGATCTGCCCAGTCGGCAGCTATGAATACGATTTGTCATTTGTAAACCTGAAGGCGCTGGACCTGTTTTGGGAGAGATATTGGAGGTGCAGGAGCCTTCAGCAGTGGAAAGGTTTGGTGGCAAAGGTGGTTTCCAGACAGCCTTTGATAAAATCGGTGACAATTGTGGTCCGGAATGAATCCATACCAGAGGCTGATTTAGTAGTTTAGCTACGCCGACATGGTGAGGTCCTCACCCCACTGCGGAAGGTCCTGGATGAGCATAGGATATGGACAGGGGCCTGGACGGGTGTCAGTGCAATTGAGGGTGCTGGGCAATGTGGTTCAGCATCTTCCCTGCTCAGCCTTTCTGGGGAGGGATAGGCTGACCATTTTCTATCAAGGTCAGCCTAAAGTTTGTAACAAATGCGGAGAGAAAAGGACATTTTGCATCGTCCTGCACCATCAAGAAGTGCTCACTGTGCCAGGATTTTGGCCATTTGGCCAAAGAATGCACCGAGATTCGGTGTGTAATTTGTGCCAGCAGCTGGGTCATCCATACAGTCTGTGCCCAGAGGCACTACACAACCTGCCAGGACTGGAGGCTGAGCTGCAGAGGCTGGATAAAGAGGATGAGGCAGCTGATGCTAGGGAGGAAACTGTTGTTGCCCCTCCTGTGTCTGTTCCGTCTGTTGTGTCAGATTGTGTTTCCCCCAGTAATGTCACCCCTGAGTCTGTCCCTTCTGTCCCTAATCCTACAGTACGTAGATATCCTCCAGACTGGCGGAAGCTGCTGGGGGGGCTGGTTTTAGTGGATCTCCCTCTCGGTCTACTCCACCTCCGGTACCTGTCCCCCGACAGCGCAAACGTGGTCAGGAGGTTGTGGGGGTGCCGGATGGGGGTGGAGCCGATGGGGCTCAGGTAGGGGTATCCATGTCCCATGTCCTCACCTCCTGCTGGGGGGGATTCGGCTGATGAAGGGTGGGAGAGGGTGAAGGAGAAGAGGAAGAAGAAGAAGAGGAGGATGAGAAGAGCTGTCCTCTCTTCCTCAGAATCAGATCCAGGAGGGGGTCCCTCTTGGCAATACTTTTTCAGTTTTGTCAGGTGATGAGATGGTATCTGATGTATCCATTTCTCTATCATCTATGGATGAGGGGGAGTCACGTACTCTGAAGAGAGCTGTTTCGGGTGATGAGAGTGTGGTAGAGGTTAGGAAACGACTACCCCAATCATCCTGATGGCAGTTCCCACTCTGTTAAAGGTGGTGACCATTAATGTCGCCAGCATTAAATCTGCAAGAGCTCGTGACACGGCCTTATTTTTGCTCAGCGAGTTTGATGCTGAGATTTTACTTTTGCAAGAGACCTGGCTCAATACATTGGCCGATGTCTATCTAGCAAAAAGGGAGTGGAGATGTGGTCCCTCCTTTTGGTCTCTTGCGGCTGAACCTTGCAGCGGAGTTGCGGTCCTTTTTTAAAACCGATATGGTAACGTGCCGGCGGGGTAATTGAGGTAGAAATGGGGAGATGCATGGCCTTAGACGTCTCTGTTAGGGGGCAGGACCTGCGCCTGATCAATATCTATGGACCCCAGTCAAAATGGGGCAGGAAATGCCTCCTCACAAAGATCAAGCCCTTCCTTTTTTACGTCCCAGCAGGTTGTCTTTGGAGGTGACTTTAACACCATAATTAGGCCTGAAGACAGAGAGGCTCCATAGACAGGAGAGGCTCCATAGACAGGCTGGGTTATGATAGCGTTTTTCTCAGAGATTTGGTTAGACAGGCAGGCCTGGTAGATGTGCACATTAAGCACTGCCCTGGCAGCACGGGGTTCACATTTCAGAGAGGGAATAGTCAGAGCAGGATAGACAGGTTTTTTTTAAAGGGAGAACTCTGCTTTCTCGGCTCCTGAGTTGAAGGTGGTGGAGTTTTCTGACCACTGTATGCTGTCTGTGACTCTGAATGCCTCGGACTCTCCACCCAGGGGAAGGGGGGGTGTCTGGAAACTGAATTCGGCTCTCCTGGAAGATGTAGAGGTAAGACAATCCTTTGAGGATTTTTTTCAGGCACAGGTTTCTATTCTGGACTTTTGCAGCAGTAAGTCAGAGTGGTGGGAGCTTGTAAAAAAAAGGGCGATTGGACTTTTCAAGGCCATAAGTAAGAAGAAGCAGCTTGGTATGTATATTGCCTACCAGCATTTGCGGAGGAAGCTTGATCGTCTTGTCTCGTATGGAGGAGATCCAGGGGAGATCTCTGAAGTGAAGCTTCTTCTTAGGAAGTGTCAATACGACCGGCATGCCTCCTTGGTTCTGGAGAGGGATTATGGGAAATATCACTCACTGATCCTTACCAGAAACTGTAAGCA